GGCAGGAGGCGCATGCGCGGTGGGGCGCGCTAAGCCCGCTGCTCGGCGCCGCGAAGTAGCATCGCGGGGAGTAGTTTTATATAAAAGACTCCTAAAATACTTTTATTCCATAATTAAAATCTGATGGGGAGGAGGCCGGTGGACAACGCGGTGATGTCAGTCGACAGGCGCGCTGGGCGGGGGTAGCTGTGAGCGGAAGGGACCGCCTCCTGGGGTGACCTTTGTTAAGCCTCTTTCACCCATCTGGTGAAATGGTCACATTTCGGAAGAGATAAAAAGGAACAAAGGAAAATTTCACCCTGATTTAGGAGAGGAAAACGCAGTTCAATAGGAAGCACTGATTCCTCTCACAGCTTCCCCACTTAAAACGTTTTTAGAAGGCAACAATCAGTTCCTGGTTCTGGAATCTGTTAACCAAGCTTAGACAGGCTCAAGATGATGTGTTAATGTCACAGTGGGGGAGGGAATGGTTTATACATTAAATCGTGGGGGTTGTCTTCTTTTTTTGTACAAAAAGATGCAGCATAGGTCAATCTCTATACAATTCCCTTCCAGGACAACGAACTGTTGGTCAGTAGTGATTCAGGACATGAAGGACATGACAGAGACGCAAGGAAAACCATTAATGTTCCCAATCCCATGCCAGGTCAGCATCTGCGCAGGAATCTGTACACAGCTAATATACACATGTGCTTCCTAGAGCACATCCACTCGCCATTCCTCAGCTTTCTAACACTAGAGCTGCCTTTTTCCTTCCTCTTCGTCAGGAGGAGGACATGAAGGAATTGCATTCCCAAAAGGAGGATGTCCAGCTGAGAACTGGGGCTGGGGAATGACCCCCTTGGTTCCCATGCGCATGGTCTCCTGGCAGGGATGCTGGCGCCAGAGCAGAGGTTTATTGCTGAGCCACACGAGGTATAGTGTTCAGTTCCAGCCTGATGGCACGTGAGACGGGTTTGTTCCAGTGAAATGCTACATTCAGACAGGATTCCCCTTGCCCTGGCCGAAAGCCCTTGTCTGGATAGGATGATTTCAAGGCAAACGGTGGAAGAGCCGAGGTTTCACCCTCGCTGTATTGCCTCGGAGAGGGACACAGAGAACTTCCAGGTCCTCTTGGGTCTCTTGCTCCCTTCTTGGAAGATTATGGCCGATGGTACCTGAAAGCCAAGGGAAAAATCATAGAGTCTCAGCCTGGTTTGTGTTGGAGGGACCTTAAAGCTCCTCCAGCTCCAACCCCTGCCCCGGGCAGGGACACCTTCCACTAGAGCAGGTTGCTCCAAGCCCCTGTGTCCAACCTGGCCTTGAACACTGCCAGGGATGGGGCAGCCACAGCTTCTCTGGGCACCCTGTGCCAGTGCCTCAGCACCTTCACAGGGAAGAGCTTCTGCCTCAGAGCTCATCTCAGCCTCCTCTCTGGCAGGTTAAAGCCATTCCCCTTGTCCTGTCCCTACAGGCCCTTGTCCAAAGCCCCTCTCCAGGTTTCTTGTAGCCTCTCTAGGTATTAGAAGGCTGCTACAAGGTCTCCCTTAAAAAGCCAAGTGTCATCCTTGGAACTCAGGTTAAATGCTTACCAAGGCACTGCAGATGGTAAACTCAATTATGTCTAAACTCCCAGCCCTCACTGAAGCCATTAACATCGAACAATTTCACCTCTGCCTTCAAAGGCTCTTGTGCTCTGCAAGTGCTCATTTTACCCACACAGAGCAACTGCTGGGGGGAAGGAGTTACTCTGGGCCATGATCCACAGGTTACTTCACAGCTACTCTCCAAACTAAGTACCAGGGTGTTGTGTGGCTGCTGCACGTCTCTAGCCCCAGGAAAGCACACTCCAGCTGCACTGCCAGTTTCCAGTATTGAAGCCCTGGTTTCAGGAAGAACAGCCCATTTCATGTCTGCTACTCCTCCAGTGAGCAAACAGCACCCAGGAAGAAGGGGACATTCCATCTCCATCTGTTCTACAGGTCATTTTGATAAGGTTTTAATGTCTTGCCTCTCAGCACTGACTGAAAGTAAGCGAGGAAGGTGTTCTCACTCACCTCGTGAACTGCTTGCTGTCCTCATGGACTTCCATTTCACAGCTCTTAAACTCATTCAGCTCCTTCCTGATGGCAGCCTGCAAAAGAGGGAGAGATCCCTTTTATCTCCTGCTAACGGTGGAGATAACGGTGCATCCATCTGTTCCCCTCTCTTCCACCTCAAGTGAGCTCACGCATGGCAGGAAGGTGCTGTACCTCCAAACACCCCTGCTCGGGGCTGATCACCTTCCAGTGGTAAGGAGTTAAGAGCCCTTTGGATAATGCAGGGCTGAGCTCCACACCTCCTTTGGTAAAGGAAGGAGCTCAGACTGCAGCAGCCACCCCAGCATTTGCAGCCCGTTCACACTAGGCTGAGCCTCATCTGCCCAACCTCCTCCATACTGATGGCTGGGCAGTCCCCACAAGTGGCCAGGGAAGACTAGAACTCATGGTTTCCCTGCCAGCTTCATGCCTAGGCCTGCTTCAGCCTGAAGGAACAGCACCCTCTGACCAAGCTCTGCACCTTGCACCCTCTTGTATCACTGGGAATCCAAGTGGACCAAGTCCATACTGCATGGACCATGCCCATGTGGGCTCCACTGCACTGTGGATGGGGCCTGAAGCAGGGCTGGGTACAGCACGCATGGGCGAAGGGACACTGGTGCTGCTTGGTGTGGTGGCAGAGGGAAGGATGAAAAGGGGAAGCAAAAGAAAGAGAGCAAATCTCCTTGGCTGTTTTGCATGGAACACCCGGATCTAGCTCCCCTCCTCACACCTAGGGACAAGATACTCCTTGTTACCTTGTCGGCTGGCGTTAGCTTTGTCCATGGCTTATCTGCTCGCCGGTCATAGTCTTGAGCATCTGTTACTTCCACATATTCATTAAACCTCAGGATCTTCCTGGCCTGCAGCTCTGCCACTGTAGGCCTTTGGCTAAGCTGAACACCAGCAAGAACAAAGAAAGTGAGTTGGTGCCTTGTCCACAAAGCAGTTCAGGACTCAGCATTCCCAGCAAAACTAAACCCATTTCCCTCACTGGGCCTGAACCACAGGCACTGCTAGGTCCTGCCTGGGAGCGCACAAACCCTCCTACAGCAAGTGCCATCTCGCTTGCATCATGAGGCCAGGCTAGGGCAGAACCAAGGCCACACTGCTAAGGAGAACGATGACACCAAGGGCTCTGGGAACAGGGTGAGCCCTGTATGATACCCATTCCCCACGTCAGCCATGGCAACACTCACATTTCACACCTCCGAGAGAAAGTTCTTCTCAGCCACAAAGAACAGCCACAGGTAACTTGGATGTTATAGCTAAAAGCAGCTTTTGCTCTGCTCAGCTTCTCCCACACTGCTGTTGGATTATAGAAATGGATGGTGGGGAGCCTGGAGTGGAGTTGTGGCCACTGAAGTACTGTGTTAGCATGGCCAGGCCGGCCCCAGCAGGCCTGTCCAGTGCCAGGTGCCCAGGTTAGTTCTTCTCTCACTGACAAGCACGGTCGCGGTGCCAATGGCTCACCATTGGTGGCAGTTCCACATTCCAAAGCCACTGCAGTCTGAGGGCACTGGGGACACTTACACAAGAGCCCCGTGACTTCCCCCCCAGCAAGGAACCTCCGACGTGCTCACACCCAGCACCAGCCCCGCCAGCTCTGCCAGATGGTGCTCACGGCACGGGGCCAGCAGTACCTTTCTGGTGAGCCTGCGCTTGATCTCCCGCTTCTCAGCCTGACGGTCAGCTTCATTCTTCGCTGCCAAGGGGAAAGAAAGAAATGATACAGCTTTCCTGTAAGACAGAGCCTTTGAAAAGCACTTTCTGGACTTGAACAAAGGAGAGTGTTGAGCTACGTCGGGTTATCGCCATGCCCGAAAGCTCGCCGTAGTGTATGTGTGCTTTGTAGATGTACAGAGCACGGTCCAACTCCACACCCCCCGCCTGCCAGTGGCAATGTGGGTCCTTCCTCAGGAGAACTGAGTCATCCTCCCTGGCCCTGTGTTAAAAATTAATGGCCATATTGTCCAAATACAGCCAAGGCGCTCTGCAGACTGCTCCCCCAAAGCTACCCTACTAAGAGGTGAAAGAGAATAACAGCACAGATAAATAGCTTAAATGGAAACTTCCTGAACTGACATTTCCCTTTCCTCTAGATGTTTATTTAAAGCTTTTGCAGAGCAAGCTATGGCCAAAAGAAACACCACTGACTGAGCAATGAACTGCTGCTTTTTGGATCATGCAATACAATGCTGTAATGTCTGGACCACAAATTCAAGTCCAGCCCAAACAAAAACACCTTTCACAGTCCTGCTGGGTAACATCAGAGTCTTAATCAGTTCACAGACTTTCCCCTGAGGTGGCAGGCACAGGACATGGAGACTTTCTATAACGTGATGCTTTGAACTGTATTGCTTGGTACCACTGCTAAGGTCTGAATTTAAGCCAGAACTGGTTTCTGATAGTATCAAAGTACTGGGTGAAAACATAGTGGAACTGCTTTACTACAGCCACACCAAAGCACAGCCCTCCATGGCTGCCTCCTCCAGTTCCTTTACTACAGCCAAGCAAAGCACAGCCCTCCATGGCTGCCTTTCAAGCAGGTTCCAGGTACACCTGGACTACAGTGTTAAAGGCAAACTTCTTTTATACTGAAGGAGCACTGAAGGAGCATTACTCACGTTGAAGTATGTTCCTCTGCTCCAGTTCCTCCGCGGTCGGTCTCTGACTTAGTCGCCTAAAGAGAAGCATGACAAGTGCATCATCAGTAGGGGATGAAGACCACAACTGCTTGGTTTCGGTGCACTGGAGAGCCTTTTCAGCCCCCTCCTTCACTGCTGCCATGATTTGCACTTTCCCACTCAAAGCCACAGGCACAGCTTTGGAAAGTGCCTCTGGAAAGCTCAGAGGAGCAGGGAGCTCAAGCAGGCAGCACAGCCTGGGCCATCAGCAGCCCCACTGTAATCCACCACCCAACACATCACAGCGCTCAGCTTGCACCTACCCACGTCTTTCTACACCATCTTGTTTTATGACAGTAATGCTCCTGTGTCCCTTGAGGTTTTCCCCTCCCCGTCCATCTAAGCTCTGGAAAGCAGGGCCTGTCAGGGGATACTGCTCAGCTCCAGGAGGAACTTCCATAACTGAGGAGGAAAAGCCTCCCAGCCCTGATCCAGCAGCAATGCCCAACCACCCATCACATCCCAGCACAGGCTGCTTGGATAAAGCAGGAGCTTTGTCCAGTCCCACCCCACACACAGCCAACAGCTCAAACCTAACCCCCTCCTCCACTCTTCATACCTGATCAGCGTCGTCCCAATCTGGTGCCGGATTTCATTCCACTCCTCCTTGCTCTAACAAGCTTCTCCTCCTGTGGTGTGGTTGTGTTCCCCAGCTTTATAGCCAGCGTGTCTTTCCTCTTCACTTTGTTAGCCAGCGTGCCTGGGGGGAGGAAGAGCAGTAGGATGGGACTGAAGCCTGCAGTGCCTCAGCACAGCAAGAGCAGCCATGTGCCCTCTCCCCTGAAGCTGACTTTCCCCACTCTCCACACTCCAGCTCCAGAGCTGGTCACAAAATGAGCCTGATGCCCACATGTTCACCTGAAGGGCTGGGACAGCACAAGCCATCTGCACCTGGAGGGGGTGCATCACAGCAGATGAGCTGTGATGGCTCTAAAGCCTTTGAAAAAGTGAGGAAGGGGACATGTGGAACATCATGAAACCCACAACAGCTGCTTTGAAGCACTGTGAGAACCAGCTCTTTGATCCAGATCTCAATCCAGCAGACATGAGCTCAGCAGAGATAAAGCTGGGACAGCACAAGCCATCTGCACCTGGAGGGGGTGCATCACAGCAGATGAGCTGTGATGGCTCTAAAGCCTTTGAAAAAGTGAGGAAGGGGACATGTGGAACATCATGAAACCCACAACAGCTGCTTTGAAGCACTGTGAGAACCAGCTCTTTGATCCAGATCTCAATCCAGCAGACATGAGCTCAGCAGAGATAAAAAGCCAGCTGCAATGTCAAAGCCTTACTGTTATGGCTTTCATCTTCTTCCTCATCCTCATCATCTTTGTACAGGATGGGCCCCTCCGAGTCAGAGTCGCTCATCCCTTCATCTTCTTCCTGCTCCTCTGGCAGAACCTGGGGTACCAGTTTGGGGATGACTGTGACAGATGGCACATCTCCAATATACACACGAGGACCCAAATTCTGCTCCTCTTCCTGGTCATCTTCTTCCTCTTCCTCATCGTCTGGACTAACGAGAAGCACACTATTACATCTCAACACACATCCAGAGACGCAAGAGCCACCCCAGGATCCTGCACCATTCCCTCCCTCCAAAGTGCAGGGAGAGGAAATGCAGAGGCAGGTCCTCTGAAGAACCAAACAGCCCCTTCACCCCCCAATCTTTGGGACTTGAGGTTCAGCTCTGTTGTAATACAAGATAGTTCTTCTCCCACTTCAGTTTTGTAGAATGAAAGGCTAAGCAAGGCCACAAATGGATGGAATCCAGGACCTCGTTTTGTCTTGGTGCAATTAAAGAGAGGCCAGGCCTGGATTCCTGGCATCAGCCTGTGTTTGTGCTCTGGAACCTACTTCCTTCTGTGAGCAAGAAACTCACGGAACCAGGGTTAATTCCATGGGGAAGATGCAGTGGCCCCCAGGAGGCTGAAACACAGATTCCACCAGGCAGAATGGTTTCTAGCCTGTTGCAAGAAAGCAGAGAAGAAACCAGCCCTGCCCACAGCCCTCCTCACCATCACAGCCCCACAGAGCAGGCAGGACCCCACGTGCAGGGTGATGTTCCCTGCACATGCAGCAGGTACTCACACTTTCAGCATCTCGATGGTGACAGGCAGGGACCTCGTCCTGCCCAGGGTGCCATTGTCTTCTCCAAAGCCATCATTCTCAAAGAGCAACGAGTGAGCCCTGTGTGAGCCCTCTGCAGGTGGGGTGACGGGCAGAGGGCTGGCCAGAGCCTGCTGGATACGGATGTGCAGCGGGATTTGGGGCAGGCGAGGCAGCATGTGAGGGTCACCAAACCCCTGCTCTGCCGTCCTCTTCGCTGCTTCCAAGGACCTGAACTCTTCAGGAGGAGGAGGAGGAGTCTCTTTGGGTAGGTCCAGGGAGCGCGGAGGGTCCAACACAGGGGTGGAGGCAGGCAGGGGCATACGTGGAGGTTCAGGGGGTACGTGTGTGGGCAGTGGGGGTGAAGGGGAGGGGGGGGGGTAGGCAGAGGTGACGTGCATCGGGGGCAGTGCAGGGCGGGTTGTTGG